GACGACGCGAAATGGGCGCCAGATATGAACGCAGTGCGAGCGACGATACGATTCGCAATAGCAACACGGAGACTCGATGCAAACTAATATCTAACTAACCACTAGGTAAACCTTAGCTACTAACGTAAACTTATTAGCAGCCTCGTGCAACAGAAGTAGACACCGCTTCAGCCGCCGAAGATAGGACGCTGAACACTTAGAGAATCTCTTGGAGATGCCGACTCTAAGCCAGTCTACCACCAGCAACACTAACCCACGAGCATCTGACGAGGAATAGCAGTAAATAGAGAAGAAGCATGCCAAGGTGTTAAGTAAGGGCTTCGACTTAGATGATAAGCTATATAAAGAAGCAGGCCAAAGAAGACATATGGGCTAAGGAGACCAAGACTAAGTAGAGAAAGTGTAGTTAGACTAGCGTTAGTAGCCCTTTCGGCTCGGCCGCCGGGCGTAAATAAATTGTGTGTGTGTGTACTCTCGTACGTAATCATGCGCATCAGATAGAGAAATGCAACGACACATTCATCACCGCAAACAGACATTCTTTATGATGATAATACAACTAACTAATAAGCCCACACTCACTGTTTCCCTTCCCGCGGAGCATACACCAAACACTCACAAGCCTCCCTCATCCTTCACATATTCCCCTCGCCAAGAGACCCGACACCACCCACCGGAGTCGTATCCCATTTTACTACTGCCGTTTGCAGCCTACCACTACCATCACCACACGGAATAGCATTCTGCGCCGCATACTTACGCAAGGGATGTGGCGCTGTTTTCTTTTCCTGGGAGCGGCGCGTGTCTTCGCTGGGGCGCGGACTCGCTTCGGGAATGGATTCTAGGAGTGGGAGGTGGCGGTGGAGCGGGCTGAGGAGGGGATTTGCGTCTTGGTGGTGCAGCTGGGTAGAGACTATGGGGCCCATTTCGTTGTCACTAGGGGAATGTGGGGTGCTGTTGGAGTTGTGAAGGCGGCGCAAGCAGCGGCTGCAGCAGAGGGTGGTGAGGAGGCCGCTATTGTGGGTTTTTGTTTTTAGTGATTGTGGTATTTAGTTTTGGGGGGGTTAGGGTTGTTGTGGGGATTTTCATGATGAAGGTGTTTTTGGTGCAGGAGAAGATGTTTTGGCTAGGCGTGAAGACTTAATCTATATAGCATTTGAGAGGGTGTTGGTGCAATAGCACTCACAACAGCAATGCAACCGCCGCAGAAAGTCCCCCAATTAGGACCCTCTGGGTATTTCCCCTGCCCTTTCCCCCTTTTTCTGGAGGGGTGCTGCGACGAAACAGGCGGAATGGGAAACTTGGTTGTAGTGACGAACTTCCCGACGTTTTCTCAAATGCTGTAATGCTTTCTGAAGGCATCCATATGCCATCCTTAACTGTACCCTTGCCCTGGCGAATAGCAGCCCGTTCTTCTTCTGTACAAGTATAAACAGCGTCTCTGATCCAGCAGGCTGAATCTGGCTGAGGCGGCACCGTATTCTTATGATCAGAAGTGTTGGGTCCTTCGGTTGCAAACGTAGACAAGTCAGTCTCGTGACCCGTGCTAATGTCGCGACCTTGAATAGTCCGACTGAAGACAGCAAATGCGGTTTCTGGTTGGTAGTATGGTACCTGGTGACCAGCATCGTAAATTCGAGAGAATGAAAGGTTGCCATATTGACGCACAGCTCCGCCAATGTAAGATGGATTGACAAAGATATTGGCATAGCCAGCGGCTGGGAAGGCGGTATCGTACCCTGGAACAAGACTAGCTAGCTCAAGGGATCCATTCTGGCCTCCGTACCAGTTACCTAGGAGATCTGCGTCACCGTATATCAAGGCTACCTTTATGCCACGAGCGAGCAAACGCGCCAAAGAGGCCAGCTGCGTCCCACGAGCAGCATCTCCGTCTATAGCAATAGTCAGCAAAGCTCTCTTTCTAGAGAAGCTTTTCAAATAATATGACTTACTGAAGTTGAAAGCATTCTCAACAGTCATGCTATGTGAGGTGAAGTTGACTGAAGCGCCGATGGACTGTAGAACTCTGGCATCATTCAGATATTCTATGTAGGAGGCAGCCGGCACGACCTGAGGCTCCACTCGCACGTCATAAACACTTCTACCGATAGCCATGACAGGCAAAACAGCCAATTGGCAGGTTAATAGAGCACTTGCGCAAAGCTTGTTAGTGTCCTCATCAGTACCGAGATTGTTGGGGTCATTTTTCGCCGCGAGCACACGACATTGCGTTATCAGATCCCTACAGCCCATCTCTCCGTTGACCACGGCTATTGCATTCTGGTAGGTCGTAATGTTGATGCCTTCGATACCGTATGTGTTGTTGTATGCGAATTCCAGACCCGATGTTGTGGTTGCAATAACATCCAGGACACCATCTACAATGCCTACTGAACCCACACGGATCTCCAATGCATCGCTTGGTACTTTTCCATCTTTTATTTCTTTGTTCTGTGCTTCAAAATAATCTGCAAAGATGGGGCCATACATGCCCCCATAACTCTCGGCAAATAAATTGATGGCAGCAAACTCGACAGCATCACTATCAGGATGCACTCCTGGAATGTATTGAGGGAAAGCGGAGAGAAAACCTTGTAGGAAGTGCCAGGTCGATCTGGCGGCGATGGCAGTCAAGTCTTCTGTGTTTGTGGTAAGACCAGAAGCGAACGTCCCATTTTTGAAGCGCCAGGCAGGTATATCAGTCGGAAGAGGCGATGGTTGCTTGCGGGCATCCAAGCCGGTAGGGTCATCGTTGCTGAAATCTACAGACGCATTCACCCGCTCATCATAGGAGAAGCCAGTCTGAGTGGGCTGATCGATGAAGAGTATGTTGGAACTGCGGTCCCAACCCCAGGGCCTGGGCTGTGTAGTATAGCCGCCATTAGACTCTTGTACAACCTTGCATGGCCCTACTTCAGTAAAGAGGCCAACCATGCTAGATTGCCCAGGTCCACCGTTCAGCCATATTGTCAATGGTGCAGTCTCTGGGCTGTCTTGAGCCTCAAAAAACCAGAAAAAGGTATTGATTGAATAGTTTTGCTGAAAGGGTGCAAGCGTAAACGGAGGAAGATTGACATAACCCGAGTACTGCTTCTGCGTTTCAGCGGTTGTAGAGCATATGTCGGATCTAGGCTGTTTGAAGGAGATGGTGATGCTAGGGTCCACAGGTGATTTGAGAATGGTGTCATAGGTTATAGGAAGTGGATACTGCTGGGCAAGTGAGAGCCTAGAGTCAACAGCAATAAGTGTTAAGATGATGTGTGATAGTTGGCGCTAGTGATGTGTTCAGTCTGCGCACATACTTGCTCGTGTTATGTGAATACATAAGTGGGCTTACCATGTTGTCGGGTACCAGCTCATTAGCCGACGACTATCGCATGGAAATGATAAGAGGCCTGAAATACTGCAGAAACCAGATGACAGGTGAAGCGTACAAGCAAGCAATGTGCACCGCTGTGTAACGTTGGAGAACAAACAAAGCCGTAGCCTGCCGCCCCTACTTGTACTTTCATTGCGACTCCCTTTACAGCTGTTAAGCGACAGGCTACCACGTCGAAATAGGAATCTCCTAGCTCAATACAAAGCAGCTGCGCGGCAAGGTGAACGTGCAGAAGTGAGCCCCATAACTTTGCGGCACGGTCGCGCAGCGGCCGATGACGACTAATGGTTTAGCACTCAATGCACCGTGGGCATGTCCGGCGCAATATTCCTACATGCCTCTCAAACTAACCATCTCGAGCTCACACTACAAAATGCTGCACAATCAATAATGCAGTACCACCTTTCTCAGACACATATCTTCCGTGTGCCACGATTCGAATACATAGCCTCACTATGCCATGCGGCACAGCACGCAAAATACTTCAGCCGCCTTGCAAAGACAGCGCTACCACGCACCTCGGCAACCTATATAAATGAATGCAGGTGTACTGGATCTTGCACTTTGCAGCCGACCGCTGCACAGTACTCAATCCTGAGTTCATGCATCCGACATCCATGGTGTGTGGACGGGTTGCGTAGTGAAGCGATGTAGTCAACTGTGAAGAGCGGCGTCTGCTAGTTGCATCCTTCGCCCATAGCCACCGTATATCCATCCGACTGCATCTGACATGTCGTTGTGGTATGGCGTCCATCCTTGAAACAAGTTAGTTACAGCTGAGTGTATTTGTGGGGGTTGGAAGCCTGCTCACCTTCGGGGGCAAAGCCACCAACAGTGGTTCCTTTGATTTCTTTCCAAGTTCTTTTTTCGCTGAGACCCAATTGTACTACTCTTGCCCGCTTACCTCGCTTCGCCAGGATCCTGACCTCGCCTTTCATATCTTGCTCCGGTCCTGCGATCCGCCAGTCCTCGTTGACTCTATCTCCTGGCTTTGCTGCCCAGGGCTGCATCGTCTGTCCGTCCTCGGTTTTTTCACAGCCGGTAGCTGCTTGCTGGTCGTACGGAACGATGTACATCTTGACCTCGGCGCCGTACTCGACTCCATCACGTTCCTTGATAAGCGCATCCCAGTTTTCGGGCTGGGCTGACCGTTTGTGCCGGTGGTCGTAGCCCGAGGCGATGAAGTCGGTACAAGGTGTTATGTAGGTAAGCTGTTTCCAAGCGTCGCTATTGAGGAGGCTTTCGATGTCGAAATAAGTTGTAACGTCTCGCCAGCCATCGCACATGCCAAAGCCATGCCAGCAATCTTCCACAACTAGTGTATCAAGACACAGACCAGGCAGCAGATTAAACGCATTTGCTGCATAGTAGGTAGGATAGTAATGCGTAGTCTCTCCAGTGTACAGGGGGAATGGATACGCGCGAACCCGAATGTGGCGCAAGCGGGTCAGCACACTCTGATCAATAGAGAGGAGTGTCTCGAGCAAGTTCTCAGTACCGCGGAAGTGAATGGTGCAGTTGAGCGGAAGATGACGGCTGGCCTCGGTGTAGATCTGGCGACAAGTAAGAAGTAGTGATGTGCGACTAGAGGCGTTCGTTTTGCTGCTGGGAAGGCCTGGGTGTTTGAAGCCGTGTCGAATGGTGTAGCTACCAAAGAGAAACCCGTAAATGAGCTCTCGTAGCTCGACAGGTATGGTGAGAATGGTTGGTGCGTTCATGGTGCTGTAGTCGATGGCGTGCGATTAGACGGAACGGCGAGTGATGGAAGCGAGATGGTTGCTGATAAGAAGTAACGCAAGTAGTAAGTATATAGCACGCAAACACCAAGCCCAGCAAACAGATACAGAACAGCGTCACTTGGACTAGTAAGCACTACAACGTTGACATGAGCTGGACGTGACGACAGCTAGGCGCCCACTCCAAGCCCTGGCGTGCGCACAATATAAGGCATTGCTCAGCTTGCACGCTGATAGCTTCTTCCTCGGCTGTCATGGGCGGCAGTAGGGTAGGATGACGTTTCGCTTCCTTGCGCTAGGACTGGCTAGCGCGCTTCGGACAGGTCCAAAGGTCGTGTGCTAGGTCACCGACCATGAAAGACTAGTATGCCATACATTAGCAGCTGAAAGCTGTGTACATACACGTGCCAGGCCTGCCGCCGAAACTAGGAGTACTATACAAATCCCGCCGACGCCTTCGAGGGCCACACTCCGGCGAGATCGACCGGTAGTCTAAGCGATGGCTTGTTGTAGTGCATTAGGGGATGGATGGAATACTTGATTCTGGGTATCTTTGATGCGCGCTCAAGTCTAGATCTGCCTCTTTCGACCGCGACCTCCAATCAACTGTTGCTCTGGTGTATGTATTACTCCGACTTTGACCGCCCACGAATACGCTGCTGCTCCTCTTGCAGCTTCTTCTGCTGCCACTGCCACTCCACTAGTACGGGCAGGAATTGCCAAAGATCAAACTCGGGCCACAAACATTTGAGAAACACAATGGATGTATTCTCATGAGCCTGCCACAGCATGAAGTCGCTCAGTCGCTGCACACCAGAAGTGCGGATAAGCAAATCGAGCGGTGGAGCGTCGGCTGTCATCATGTTGTCGTTCAGTGTCTGGGCACTAATCGACTCAGGATCCAGGAATGTAGGTTCCGTCTGCGACTCATCCTTGTCTGGTGGATTAATGACTGTTGCGGTCGACGAAGACCGCCCGTCTTCCGCTGAAGCAGCTTCTTTCGAAGGCGACACTGGACGTGACTCGGCTTGTTCAAGTGCGCTTTCTGCATCCTCCTCCAACATTTGCTTCCGGATATGCTGCGTAATGTGCGATTCGGAAAAAGCGCGTTTCGGCCAAGTAGACAGATTATGCATAGGGGTGCTATACGTCTCGACAGTCTTCATGACAGCGGTCGTAATTTCGTGGCGCGACGTGTAAGGAAAGCAGACATTTAGGACAGCTCTGTTCAATGGGTCAGCAGACGTCTTCGCACTGGGTGTTGTTGTGTACTTCTTGTTGTGGGCGGTCATGGCCACGGCCTTGTCTACAGCCATAAGCACATCTTGGTTGACAAGCTCGCGCTCACCCAAGACTCGAATGGATGCACCGTAGCGGTCCAGTAAAGCACCATGCTCGGCTAGCTGTTGCAGCTTCACCTTAGCCATGGACATGAGCGCATCCACCTCATGCTTCGAACGCTTGAAGTTCTCAATACTGAACGCATAGATTGTCACCACTTTCACCCCGGTCTTGTAGCACACCTCGAGGATCTGGCTAGTTGTCAGTATCATAACCAGCAAAAGAAATGCTCCCTTTCCATGGTTCATCGTACCCGAGCCAGCGATTCAAACCCTAGATTGTGCCCTTCTACAGTCTCAATGTGGTGATTGCGTGCAAACCGCCTGTTCCCGTCCATGACAAACGCCACATGTTGCGGGATTGGACCCTGCTTGAGAGACCCAATGAGGATCTCCCGTAGTTGTCTGATTGTCCACGCGACCGGAGGCGAGGTTGCGAACCACTTGTGTATGCGGGAATCGTGGATTGACCCCATTGTGAATATTGTCGAGGTGCTTGGCGTCTGTTCTTTAGGGGGTTTTGGAATTGCAGTGCCGAATCAGGGCGATGAGGATGCTAACAGAGATGCTCAGAGGCTTCGCTAAACAATGGCGCTTCTTGTGCTAATTAGGGTATCATGGCGTATAAAAGTTGCAGTTCAAGAAGAGACGCTACGTAACAGGTCCAAGGCGCAGTGCGCCCTGACGCGCCTCCCAACGCATCTGACCATGGGCTTCTCTGCGAGGTGAGTGGCTGGTTGTGATGACTAAGCGCGGTGCGGCCTGCGCCACTGCTTCCGACCCTGCAATCCTTGCCGAGCTTCCGTCCATCTCTCACTTTTCCTGGCCGCGAGCCTCGTTGCCGCGTCATCAAAGCCGGGCTCTTCTGCTATCTCTATACACATCATCTTCGCACATTTCGTCCTTGTGTTAACGGCAGAATGGCTGAAGAGGCTCAGCTCAGCATCACAATGCTTGCCGAGCAGCTGGTTGAAGGCTTTGCGGCTTTGAGTGGAGAATACCAAGCGCTGTTTGATCAGCAAAAACAGGTGGAAAGCAAGCTCTCGTGGGCCAAGCAACAGGTATGTGACAGCTGCTAGCAGCCCTCCTCCCCTCCTTCCATGATGATACACTTTAGCTCTAGACCTGCAGCTGCTCTCGCGGCTTTGACAGAAAACAACCACAGCATGACCTGATTTCGGATTTCCTCCTTCCACGTTTAAGCACACATTATTCTGCAAGATCCAGTCTGACATTCCACAGTATCTCGACCTACTCAAGCGGTTCGCGCCGGACACGCTGTCGCAAGATCATCTTACTTTTTTGCAAGAGCTCGAGCGAATTGGGGACGAACAACCACATATGCATGTGAATTTGGTGGAGCAATTAGCAAATAGCGACGATGTAGAGCGCAAGAGCCGGGCATTGGTCATCCAGAAGGCCGAGGAGGCTGCTGTTCAACTGCGTGCCCCTGAAAATACTACAAGTGTAAAGATATGGAGCGGCCCATCAGCTGATGTACCGACCTCGCAACTTGAGACACAGAGTAATAGAGCTACTTCACCTCTTGAAAAAGATTTCACAGTTGCTGGAACGCCCAGTAAGCTGGCTTGCCCTTTCGCATCTGGGAGTGGTAGAGGCAGCCCTCTTGCTACGCCGCGAAGCTCGACCTCACGTCTCAGCCTGCGCGGTCGTAGGTCCAAACGACCCTCGTTCGCCGATCCTATCCGCGCCGAAATATGTAGCAATAAACCTGCCTCAATGACTGCCTCGGTAGCTGCATCTGGGTCTGCTGCCGTCTGTCCCATCCGCTTCCTTGACCAGCATAACCCAGAAGAGGTTGCAGAATACTTTGAAAAACACAAGCACGAGCTGCCCAGGAGCCACGAAGTTTGCATCACACGTTTCCAGCGTAACCAGGATAGCATTGAACAGCTGGATCGCAAGTATGGCAACTTAGTCAATATGATTCAAGGCCTGGGTCAAAAGCATCAGGCATGGCTGCCTGAGGACCCTGACGATGCTATAGACGAAGAACCGGAAACTGAACCTAATCACAATGTCAACGCCAGAGCAGATACCAAAGTCCAAAACTGGGCTACAGCTGTCTCAGCAAGTCTTCATGATGGTACCCCAACCCCTGAGGAACAGCCAGAAGACCATGCCATGGACGAGACTAGAACAGCGCACTTTGACCGTCCGCTAAAGGAAGTCCGAGTAGGCGAGTCTCCAAGTCGGCCTTGGGGCATATCGATTCCAGCGAAATACACCAATGCTGAGAGCTCGTCGTCAGTTGGCTCCGTCCCAACTGCATCACCACAGTTTCCGCTAGACACTGGCCGACCAGTGGAAGATACGCCACAAAGTACAGGAAAGTGTCCGTTTGATCATCGAGCGATGATGAATCAAGCACATGAACAGCATCAATCAGCACAAGCTGTCCCGCCGCCGTCATCGCCGCCCGGAGTCGCAAATACCCAGGCGCCACCCGCAGAGCCCCTGCCACAGAGACAACCCCCAGTGCAGAATGGGGAGACTGGAGGCCAACGGCTGATACCCCAAATGATATTCAATGGGCCAGTGTTCCTAGGGTATCCGCCAGACCAGCTGGCTCTGTTGTTACAAAACAGTAACCTTGGTGCAACGATGCGGTAAGATTGAAGCAACGAAAGCGAAATTTGAATTCACTGGCTGGTTGATTTGAGGTATTGTATTATAATCAGAAGGTAGGCTTCCATGACTGCTTGCCTCGCAATTGTGTGTCACTATCAGCCTTCCGAAGTCATGCTTTTTCTTCTCTGCGCTTTCATTGATCATTGCCACTATGCTATGCAGTCTCGCTCTGGTCTGCCCAAGCTTGATTCTGAATCGACGTCGGTTGCCCTGCTGACTAGTCCCCGGTGGCCCTGCTTATTTCTTCTTCAGATCTGTCATCCAGGTGCGCACGCCTTTTGCGCTGTCGTGTGCCGCACGGAACACTTTGTCGGCATCAGCTGCAAGATTCCGAAGTTGATTGGTGGATACTCACGCTGCCGTTCATTCTCATCTAGGCCCCGCATAAAGTCGGCGCCTTCACCCAATGCACCCCGTGGGTTATGGGCTTGATCAGCTATTAAAGCAGCCCTGGCCTTGAAGGTCTGTGGGGGTTAACTCTAACTAGATGCTGGAAGGCTTGGTACAATACTCACATCGCTCAGTACCTCGATCATCTCTTCCTCCTCGAACAGCTCGAGGATGCGTGCTCCGAGATTATAAAAGTGCGGAGCCAAAGCACGCAGATCGACGGTGCGTGGGTCAGCTTTGAGTGCGTTCAAGACGCGTGGAGAGAGGGCCGAGGGAGGATCGATAGTGACAAGAGAGGAAGTGTTTAGACTCTGGCTGTAGATAATGTAAATACATGGCTGTTGGAAAAACACAAAGATCAGTTTACCTTAGTGCAAGCATCTCGCCTAGCCATAAGGGAAGTTCGACTTTTGAGCCTTGCTTCATGTCGCCGTTCATGTTGCCCTCGAGATAGCCGAGACCAGGAACGGTAAGCTCAAAGGTACAGGGCACCTTCTGGGCATCTGTAAGGATGGCATCGACGTCGTAGTACGAACTCATGGTTTCTGAGACACGTCAACTAACCAGTCTACTTGGTAGAAGGAATAAAGAGGGCCAAGGCTTGTTGATGATCAACATACAGCTGGTTCAAGCTAAGAAAATGCCGGGAGAGAAGGCTCGTCGAGGACAGCAGATAGATGTGTCGCGTGTCGTGCCACAACCATGTTTGTGCATGCGGACGAAAACGCAATGAAACGGGAACATGGATGAGATACAGGACAGACATGGCCTTAATTATGGTGACCAGAACAGTCACGAGGCAAGTGCTAGGAAATACTGGAAATGGGATGGGGGGTAAGTTGCTTACTATGTGGCAACCTCAGCGTTGCGCGTCTCGTGAATGCCTGGCGGAGGTCCGACGATATATATCTTCGTATAGCGC